GGAACACAGATATGATATGAATTGATGTGATCTAAATACCTCACAAATCTGCGGTAAAAAGAAAAGAATCAACTACTAGAAAAGGAATTCAATGGCTGGGAGAATAACTCCATAGTAGCTCAGGAATGAGTTCCATCCCCAGCAACATGAAAAAAATAAATAAATAAATAAATAAACAAAAAAGGATACATGGCACTGTCTTATCAAACAAAAAGGTAATATGCCTATATTACAACTGGTACACAAACTGCTTCTATCAAAACATCTATAATCAGAACGTTCTTTTAATAACCAATGGAAAATCCTTGTACTAGGCACACATGACATTAGGTTGCTTACTTGATGCACAGGAAAACCTGGGGAAAATGTATTCTATCAAGCATATAATCAAACATGATTTTTAGCTTTAAATTTTGACAGAAAATCTTCTCAAATATTCTAAATTTCAAAAAATATTCAAGACTGTAACAGTCAATATTCTACTTTGGAAACCCTAGATTTCTGTAAGATACTTGGATTTTCTTTTCACTGACCTTTTGTTTTAACCAATCATATCAGGTGAAGATCCTGAAGAATTTATTGTTAGTATATGTCCTAGTTAAATGACTAGGACATAGTTTGGTGTGCTGTAATCAATGTTTATTATTGTTTTAAAATACTGAGAATTAGTACTAGTATTAAAGGTACTTTAATTTTATAATGTTTTATAAAGAAAGCCAAATTTTTTAAGAAGTCTATAATGCCCTTATAATCACCACAAACATATTTATTTCTCCAGATATGAACAGCAGCAAACTTTCCCTTTCTGCATTCTCCCCACTCACAAAAACTCACGTGGCTCCTTCCAAAAAATAAAATAAAAATTGTTTCCCATCCTCCCAATGTAGCAATTATGCCCAATCAGGCGTCCCTGCAGTGAACAAAACAGAGTTAAACTAAAGCCTGCTTACTGTCACAGAGAGTTGAGAAAGGAGAATGCTGTTTCAGTCCCCATTTATCTACCAGCATCACATAGCTCCAAGTCTTGTGATTTCTAATCTGGGTCCCCTTAGCTAGGAACACTGAGTTGCCTAAAATTAAATGAAACCTTTCCCTCCTATAGCTAAGGTGTTAAAATTCCAAATCAGAAAAACGAAGTCCTAAATATTAGCACAATTTTTTCTGTCTCTTGGTAATTAACTCCCTTTCCATTTCATTCAAAACAGTTTCAACATGAAATATGTACAAAAATATGAGGTTCTAATTAACAGTGCCTCTCTTATTGCCTTTTATAAGCAATATTTTTTCCTAAAAACCAAAAATTGTCAACAGATCGAGATCAGATAGCTCACATATTTTCTCTAAAAAATCGGAAGTAAATCAACAAGGAAATAGGGTAAAAGAATCATTCCAATAACCAAGGAAAAAATAATTTTGATTTAGTGTACCGAAGACTTCCCTAGTTCCTTACTTATGTTGATAATAAAATGCATAACAATTGGCTTTGAAAAAATGTAAACAAACTTTAACAGAAATATTTTATTTAGGTTCAAATCTAAATTATAAAGCTATTTTAAAACACAGTAATTATTAATCATATTGCAGAAAGGCTTCTTTATCCATATAATCAATCAACTCAACCACTATTTATCAAGCACTTTCTAGTGCGAGGCATTATAATGACTATAACTCTATAATTTCATAAACATTGACATTTTAAAGAGTCTTACATATTCTAAGCCATGAACTTAGAGCTGTGCACTTTTTCATGTAACAATGTATAAGTACTATTGTAGTCACATTGTACCAGAGAGAAAAAAGGAAATATAAAAGATTGCAAAAGAACTTGCTCCATAGATAACTATAAGGAACCATGCTAGAAATTAAAGCCATGTAATGACTCAACTATAAGGCATCACCACTCCCTCAATCATTATTCTAGGTACTTGCCAGGAAGCCACAGCAGACACACACACAAATACACAAGGCAAGACTAGTTAATGATATAATAAAAGTACAAATAAAGTGTGATACATGGTCACTGCCCACTAGAAGCTTTCTAACTAAGGGCAAAATCAAAATAGTTTGATGTCTGTTTAAGTATTTTTAAAAAATCTAATAGTAGGTACATTAATCTCTATTAATAATCGCATGTTTTAAAATCTAGAAAACATGGTAAGTGGTGTTCAATTTCATTTCAATTTAAAACCTTTCAGATTTTATTGAGAAAACAGGATCTCACTTCTAGAATCTTCCAAAGCCAAAACAGGTGAGTTATTTGGAAATACGCAAAGTAAGGAATTACAAACCCAGGAATGTCTTACGGCATAAAGCACCAGAAGGGATAAAAGAATTTTCTAGGGGGTACTTCAAGAAGATTTCATATCCCTACCCTGAGTAAAACTGCAATTGAGACCAATTCTTAGTCTTCACATATTATCTACCATTAATTTTTGCTATCTGCAAAGAAAGAAAGAGAAAGAAAGAACAATCAACTGATCAGGGCTAGGGGTGTACCTTAACGGAAGAGTGCTTACCCAGCATGATTCAGGCCCTCCCTGGTTTGATCCCTACCACCAAAAAAAAATAATAATAATGATATTAATTAAGATGTTAAAAACAATACTCAAGGAGTAAACCATAGATTCTGTATTTTAAAAACAATACTCAAGGAGTAAACCATAGATTCTGTATTTTAACATGAGAAACAGAAAAAAGGGCAATTTAAAGAGAGATCAATTTGAGACGTGTGTGAGTATTCAGGAAATTAAGAGCAAGAACCCTAGCTTCTAACAGAACCATGGATATAATGTTAAAGAGTCAGGGATGGACTGGCTGCAATAGAGAAAACATGACTGATAATCCTTCAAGTACCCACCCAAATTAAAGATAGCTGGAATTTCTTTATATTAAATAAACACACACACACACACAAAAATTATTTATTGAGCCAGGCCCAATGGCTCATACCTATAATCCCAGTTACTCATGAGGCTGAGGTAGAAGCATTATTAAGTTTGAGGCCAACCTCAGCAATTTGGTGAAACTCTGTTTCAACCATAAAAAAATAAAAGGGGCTAGGGAGGTAGCTCAGTGGTAGAGCGCTCTGGGTTCAATCTCCAGTACAGCAACAACACAAAAACAAAAAACAAAACTTATTTACTCTTTTGTTTCCAGAAATCTGGGAGAAATCTGCAATAAGCTTGCAGGGGGATGATTAAAGCCTACTTTAGGGAAATAGACTTTTAAAAACAGAACTAAGGAACAAGCCACATGATGGTGTATGATGACCATATAATTCTTGGCACATTAACTGACTTCTCCTAAAAAATAACACAGAGGCAATTCACCAAGGTTTTAAAGAATGCATCCTTAAATATTTATTGTATATGTAATCTGAAAGTATTTACATAGATTCTGATTGCCTTCTTTAAAAATTTCTTAAAACTTACATTGGGGCTAGAGTTGTGGCTCAGTGGTAGAGCACTTGCCTGGCATGTGTGAGGCACTGGGCTAGATTCTCAGCACCACATATAAATAAATAAATGAATAAATGGTTCATAGACAACTAAAATATATGTATACATATAAAATTTTTTTAAAAATCTTACATTGAAGAAAGTGCTCATATAACTCCAGGAGATGATACAAAATGCAACATTACTATCCTATAATCCCCCACTAGGAAAACCCCTAAGGATGAGGCTTATTTCCTTCCTTTAAGTAACAAGAATAGAGAGCAATGCCCAGTTATAGGGAGAACACAGTTGCTCAGACCCTAAGAGTTCATTCTTTCCCTGAATATTCTGCCTAGGTAAACATTTAGAATTAGAATTTCAACAATTACTACTGTCAAGTGCAAACTAAGGTGTGCATGAGTCACTCTACAGGGAAGGAATAGTCTTTAGTTGAAAGCAAAATGCTAGGTTAGCATAACTCTAAAAGTAGAACTTAGGCATTAAATGCCTAAGCCATATTAAATGTTGGGTATTTATACTAACAAAGGACACAGAAAAAGTCAAAGTTAGACAGTAAGATTAGAAATTTAAGCCTCCTAAACCTGGGGCATTTGTTAAGCTATTTACTTTGTTTCACTTATATAAAGTGTTACTTTTAATCACAACTAAAGAGATAATCTACACAAGTTGTAGCAAAAGTCATCATCATTACAAATATATTTAGACAAAAGGTATCACCTACAATACTGATTTACAGTTTGAAACTATAGCAAAAGCCATACTTAAGGCAGAAAAGGCCACTGTATTGATAAACAGCAAATGTGGGGCGGTCCTCCTTATAATACATGGGAAGACCAACAAAAATCAAGTTACTTTGAGTGACCCCTTAACCTGGAATTACTACTCCATAGCAAAAAGAAGTTATACTGAAAAACAAGGTGCAACTTTCAGTAATTAATTCGAACAATCTTTAAAGTTTTCAAAGACGTGACTGTTATATGTGAAATTCAAAGAATGGTAGAAAAGTGTTACTTTTAAAATACTTTTTCTTTCCAAAGTTGTTCCTTAGTGAATCTGAAGAAAAATAAATGAAAAGCAGCTTTCACTCAGTGCTGGGGTTGATAGCAAACAATTAGTAATTGTTTTAAGACACCCACTCATTTCAACTACAAAGATACTTTAACTTACAATAAAAACCGAAACCAATCTCAAGTATTTCTACATTTGACAATTTAGGACTATGGAAAAGGAAAATAAAAAGCCCTCAACTCATTACTCAACAAAGATTTTGGACAAATGACTCTGGCAACCACTGTGGTTCAAGGAAATAAGACTAAAAATATTTTAAGTCCTAATACATTCTAACTTCTGATTTCAGGCTCTACACGGTAAAATGTTTTTGCCACCTTCGTTCTCAAAGGCCAGGTCCGCCTGGGCCCTAAGTGACGGGGACCCGGAGGGAGCGACCAGGCGCTCCCTGCCTCGGTCCTTCATTCCCGGCCAGCCGGGCTGGCTCCCGGGCGCGAACCAGTCTAGGGCGACGCGGGAGTCTCTCTCACTCACCGTGAAGCGCTGATCGCCGACACTGCCCACGGAGAAGCAGTGGTCGCCAGGGTTCACAGCTCCGGTCAACACCTGGTGCAGGTTCATGTCGGCGCCTTAGTCTAGCCGTAGACGCCGCGTCCGGCTCATGCCCGGGGTCAGCGGCCGCTTCCCTCCTCCTTCCCTTAGGGGCGGCGGCCGCTCTTCCGCGGCGACGCAGACAGTGATAGGCGCCAAAAGCACGAGCCTCTCAGCTGGGGCCCGCGGCTCATCCCGTGCCCAGGCAGGCAAGGCCCGGAGGGGGCGGGTCGGCGAGCGGTGGAGCGCCGCGCTCCTCGGCGCACCTGTCACTGCGCGCGAAGGCCCAGGTGAAGCTCCGGGTCCACTCACCAGCCGCGACCAGGTGCCCACTCACCAGCCAGGAGGGCCGCGCTGTCCGCACAATTCCTCTGGGCCCAGGTCAGCCGGCACTGACCGAGCCCAAGTGGCGCGGGCAGCACGCGCTCGACTCCCAGCCTGACCGGTCCCCTCCCGGCTCCGGTGCCCTCCACCCCTACAGTCCCCGGCCGCTCACTATGCCTCTTCGGGTCCCTTTAGCCGAAATATCGCGAGATTTCCCTCGGCAGGAAAAAAAAATGGTGCAATAGAAAAAACATTCCCCCGAGTAGATACAAAAACGCCTCTTCTGGTCAGAAGCTGGCCAATCATGAGCTCAGTTCCACCTGGAGCTCCGCCCAATACAGAAAACAGGCCGGTCTTTTGGAGACTTGTGAAGGAGCTCACTGTCCGTTTAAGCTTTGAACGTAAATGAGCCTAGCAGCAGACTAATAAATCTAGGAAGAGGTGAGTCTTGTCAAGTTATGCTCTAGTTTAGGATTTAATTTAACTGTTGAGAAACAAAGTTTCAATGAGAGAAGTGCCTTCTAATGGAATTTCAGTGTCCTTGTCCTGTTAGGACTACAAATCCCAACATGCACCACTCTCCAGGCTACTCACGAGAATCTTTAAGTAAACGTGATCCTCCAAACATCTGATGGCAGTGTCGGGGTTACTCCTGGCCAGTGCGCCTTTCCAGCTCGCGGAGCAGGAGAATTTGATGATTTTGAAAGGATTAAACATTTGACAAGTGCTAACGTGGTATTTTTAAATTTATAATTGACATATGTTTTGAAATGGTATTGTTCTAATATTGCGCCAGCCCTGCTTTGAGCATTTGTTTTGGGAGAACCTAAGAATTCCAAAATGAAAAGTGTCATTTATATTTTGGCAGAAATTTGGTATTATTATTGACAAACGTTAGTTTATACGTCTTCCCCTCTATACTCTAAGTCTCCTTAAAAGCACATTGTGTCCTGTTCTTTTCTGTACCTCAAACATTTAGCAGTGTCAGTTTCAATTTAAGTCTTCAGTAAACGTTAAATAAATAGCAATAACTAGAAACACTTCATCTCACTAAAAAACTTCAAACTACTACTGGGGCCAGCGGAGAGCATGGCACAGGCGGGTACTAGTAATTTTATTTCCTTTTCCTAACGCTTTTGCAGTATATGTTTATTTGGTCTTCCAATTTAAAGTTATTTTAAAAACAAGTTTAACAGCCATCTCCCCCCCCTCCTTTTTTTTTTTTTACACTTGAAAGATGAAAGTGATTCCCTTATTTCGGTGTATTCGTAAAGATGAAGGCCAAAACAATTTGTTCTATGTGTGCGTGGGGGGGGGGGGGGTCCTTGGGATTGAATCCATGGACTTGTGCATGCAAGGCAAGCACTCTACCAGCTGAACTGTATCCTCTGTCCTGTCTTTTTAAAAATATATATTTTTTTGTTATGGTCTAGCATACCTATAGATGATTTTTTTTTTTCAGACAAGATCTTCCTAAATTGTCCAATATGGCTTTGAATTTAGATCCTCCTGCCTCAGCCCCCCAATGGCCAGGATTACTGGTGTGCACCACCATTCCAGCCCTGAACTTGTTTTATAATTATAATTTCAAGTTTACTTAAAGTGGCTTTAAGTTAACTTTGAATTTATTTTATTTTTCTTTCTTTAAAAAAAAAAACAAACAGGGAGAGAGAGAGAGAGAGAGTTTTAATATTTATTTAGTTAGTTAGTTAGTTAGTTTTCAGTGGACACAACATCTTTGTATGTGGTGCTGAGGATCGAACCCAGGCCGCACGCATGCCTGGCGAGCACGCTACCACTTGAGCCACATCCCCAGCCCTTATTTTGTTTTTCATGCTAGAAATTGAACCCAAGGCCTTGTACATACTAAGCATACAGTCTACCATCAAGCTACACCTCCTATATTTTAGACCCTAAATCAGGATTGATTTATATACTTGGGATAGACTACCTGATTTGAATGTTATACTTACCACTTACTTTGAAAGGTAACTTAATCTCTTTTTACTTTACTTTTCTATAATATGGAGATAATAGTAAACTTTCCTCCTATTATTATCATAATAATTAAATAAGAATAATGTTATGAGCATAGGAAGCATTTGATAAATGTTTCCACTTGTTGTGATTATTCCTAAATAAATCTAATCTTTTGACATAATCTTTCTAAGGCTTTCCAGTGACAAGTCTCAGTCCAAATCAAATTTCCCAATGATGTTTGAGGCTGCACAAAAGTTCTGAGACTATCCAAATCTGAATCCAAAAACTATAGAACTAAGCTAATAAAAAGCAAAGGCATGGGCTAGGGTTGTGGCTCTGTGGAAGAGCTCTTACCTAGGATGTGTGAGGCACTGGGTTCAATTCTCAGCACTGCATATAAATAAACGAATAAAATAAAGGTTCACCACATCTAAAAAAATATTTTAAAAAGGAAAGGCATTCTTTTGATTATTATTCATCTGAAATACTCACACTACCTTATGTTAAACTAAATTTGGTCTGAGGATGCTCTATTCCTTGATTCCATACATAAGGACCGGTAATCTAACTTAGCATTTAGACAAACTGGAAGTCAAATTAAAAAGCATATTATTATTATTATTATTATTATTATTATTATTCCTCCTTCTCTTCTTCCTCCTTCTTTTTTTTTTGTACCAGAGATTGAATCCAGTGGCACTTTACCACTGAGCCACATCCCTAGCCCATTTTTTTTTTTTTTTAGTTATAGTTGGACACAATACCTTTATTTCACTTATTTATTTTTATGTGGTGCTGAGGATCGAACCCAAGTCTCGCACGTGCAAGGCAATCACTCTACCGTTGAGCCACAATCCCAGCCCCCAGCCCATTTTTTTTATTCTAATTTGTTATATATGACATCAGAATGCATTATAATTCATATTACATATATAGAGCATAATGTCTCATATCGCCAGTTGTATACAAAGAATATTCACACAATTCATGTCTTCAAACATGTATTTAGGGTAATAATGTCCATATCATTCTACCATCTTTCCTACCCCCATAACTCCTCTATTCCCCTCCCACCCCTTTGCCCTATCTAGAGTTCTAATTCTCCCTTGCTCCCCCTCTTAACCCCAATATGTACCAGCCTCCTTATATCAGAAAACATTCAGCATTTGTTTTTGGGGGGATTGACTAACTTCATTTAGCATTATATTCTCCAACTTCATCCATTCACCTGCAAAGGCCATGATTTTATTCTCTTTTATTGCTGAGTAATATTCCATTGTGTATATATACCACATTTTCATTATCCATTCATCTACTGAAGAGCATCTGTGCTGGTTCCATAGTTTAGTTATTGTGTGCAATAAACATTGATTTGGCTGTGTCCCTGTAGTATGCTGTTTTTAAGTCCTTTGGATATAGACCAAGGAAAGGGATAGCTAGATCAAATGGTGGTTCCATTCCCAGTTATCCAAGGAATCTCCAAACTTCTTTCCATATTGGCTGTACCATTTTGCAGTCCTACCAGCAATGTATGAGTGTGCTTTTTTCCCCACATCCTTGTCAACACTTACTGTTATTTGTATTCTTAATAACCACCATTCTGACTGAAGTGAGATGAAAACTTAGTTTTGATTGTATTTCTCTAATTACTAGAGATATTGAACATTTTTTCATATATTTGTTGATTGATTGTATATCACCTTCTGAGAAGTGTCTGTTCAGTTCCTTGGACCATTTATTGATTGAGTTATTTGGTTTTTTTTTTTTTTTGGTGTTAGCCTTTTGAGTACTTTGTATACCCTAGAGATAAGAGATCTATCTGATGTTCAAGTGGTAAAAATTTGCTTCCAAGCTGTATGTTCTCTATTCACCTCACTGAACATTTCTTTTGCTGAGAAGAAGCTATTGAGTTTGAATTTGTCCCACTTATTAATTCTTGATTTTAATTCTTACACTATAGGAGTATTATTAAGGAAGTAAGGGCCTACTCGACTATGATGGAAGTTGGGCCTACTTTTTTTTTCTATGAGATGCAGGGTCTCTGGTTTAATTCCTAGGTCCTTGATCCACTTTGAGTTGAGTTTTGTGCCTGGTGAGAAATAGAGGTTTCATTTCATTTTGTTGCATATGGATTTCCAGTTTCCCCAGAACCTTTTGTTGAAGAGGCTATCTTTTCTCCAATATAGCCTCTAAAATAAGAGCATTTGTCTAAAATAAGATAACTTTAATTTTATGAGTTAGTCTCTGTGTCCTCTATTCTGTTCCATTGGTCTACAAGTCTATTTTGGTGCCAATACAATGCTGTTTTGTTACTATTACTCTGTAGTATAATTTAAGGACTGGTATCATGATGCCACCTACTTCACTCTTCTTGCTAAGGATTGCTTTAGCTATTCTGGGTCTTCTGTTTTTCCAGATGAATTTAATGACTGCTTTTTCTATTTCTATGAGGAAAGTCATTGGAATTTTGATTGGAATTGTATTAAATCTGCATAATGCCTTTGGTAGTATGGTCATTTTGACAATATTAATTCTGCTTATCCAAGAAAGGAGATCTTTCCAGCTTCTGAGGTCTTCTTTAATTTCTTTCTTTAGCATTCTGTAGTTTTCAGTGTAGAGGTCTTTTACCTTTTTTGTTAGGTTTATTCCCAAATATTTTCTCTTTTTTTGAGGCTATTGTAAATGGGGTAGTTTTCCTCATTTCCCTTTCAGAAGATGTGTCACTGATGTACAGAAATGCCTTTTATTTATGGGTGTTGATTTTTATATTCTGCTACTTTCATGAATTCGTTTACTAGTACTAGAAGTTTTCTGGTAGAATTTTTGGGGTCTTCTAGATATAGAATCATGTCATAGGCAAATAGTGCTAATTTGAGTTCTTGTTTTTCTATCTGTATCCCTATAATTTCTTTTGGGGTCTGTCTAATTGCTCTGGCAAGTGTTTCAAGAACTATGTTAAATAGAAATGATGAAATGGGCATCCCTGTCTTGTTCCAGTTTTTAGTGGGAATGCTTTCAATTTGTCTCCATTTAGAATGATGTTCACCTGGGGTTTTGCATAGATAGCTTTTACAATGTTGAGATATGTTCCTGTTATCCCTAGCTTTCTAGCATTTTGAACATGAAGCATTGCTGTATTTTGTCAAATGCCCTTTCTGAATCTATTGAGATGATCATATGGTTCTTATCTGTAAGTCTATTGATGCAATGAATTACATTTATTGATTTTTGTATGTTGAACCAACTTTGCATCTCTGGGATGAACCCCACTTGATCGTGGTGAACTATCTTTTTTATATGTTTTATATTCAATATGCCAGAATTTTATTGAGAATTTTTTCATCTATGTTCATTAGAGATATTGGTCTGAAGTTGTCTTTCTTTAATGTGTCATTGCCTGGTTTTGGAATCAGGGTGATACTGGCCTCATAGAATGAGTTTGGAAGTGCTGCCTCTTTTTCTATTTCCTGAAATAAATTGAAGAGTATTAGTATTAGTTCTCTTTAAAGGTCTTGTGGAACTCAACTGTGTATCCATCCAATCCTAGGCTTTACTTAATTGGTAGGATTCTGATGGGGTCTTCTATTTCACTGCTTGATATGGATCTGTTTAAATTGTGTATAACATCCTGATTTAATTTGGGCAAATAATATGACTCTAGAAATTTGTTGATACCTTTGGTATTTTCTATTTTATTGGAGTACAAGTTTTCAAAATAATATAATTCTCTCCTGTATTTCTGTAGTATCTATTGTGATATTTTCTTTATCATCACGTACGTTAGTAATTTGAGTTTTCTCTCTCCTTCTCTTTGTTAGCATAGGTGACGGTTTGTCAATTTTATTTATTTTTTCAAAGAATAAACTTTCTGTTTTGTCAATTTTTTTCAATTGTTTCAAATTCATTAATTTGAACTATGCTCTTAATTATTTCCTGTCTTCTGCTTTTGGTGTTGATTTGTTCTTCTTTTTCTAGGGCTTTGAGATGTAATGTTAATCATTTATTTGTTCACTTCTTTTTCTTTTATGGAATGAACTCCATACAATATACTTTCCTATTAGAATTGCTTTCATAATGTACCAGAGATTCCAATATGTTGTATCTCTGTTCTCATTCACCTCTAAAAAACTTTTAAACTCCTCCTTGATGTCTACTGTAACACATTGTTCATTCAGTAGCATATTATTTAGTCTCCAAGTGTTGGAGTGGATTTTGTTTCTTATTTTATCATTGATTTCTAATTTCATTCCATTATGATATGATAGAATGCAGGGTAGTATCTCTACTTTTTTATATTGCTAAAAGTTGCTTTGTGGCATAGTATATGGTCTATTTTAGAGAAGGATCCATATGCTACTGAGAAGAAAGTATATTCTCTCATTGAAGGATGGAATATTCTGTATATGTCAGTTGTCTAAGTTATTGATTATATTATTGAGTTCTATAGTTTGTTCAGCTTTTGTTAGGAAGATCTATCTAGTGATGAAAGAAGCGTGTTTAAGTCACCCACAATTATTTTGTTGTAGTCTATTTGACTCTTGAACGTCAGAAAAGTTTGTTTGATCAACGTAGATGCTCCATTGTTTCGGGCATATATATTTATAATTGTTAAGTTTTGTTGGTGTATGGTTCCCTTGAGCGGTATGTAGTGTTCTTCTTTATCCTTTTTGACTGACTTTAGTTTGAAGTCTGCTTTACTTGATATGAGGATAGAAACCCCTGCTTGCTTCCGCAGTCCATATGAGTGGTATGATTTTTCCCAACCCTTCACCTTCATTCTGTGGATGTCTTTTTCTATGAGGTGAGTCTCTTGGAGGCAGCATATTGTTGGACCTTTTTTTTTTTTTTTTATCCAATCTGCTAGTCTATGTCTTTTGATTGGTGAGTTTAGGGCATTAACATTCAGGGTTATTATTGAAACATGATTTGTATTCCCAGCCATTTTTATTTTTGGTATTTAACATGACTTGGTTTCTCCTCTGATTAGATTTTCCTTTAGTGTAATCCCTCCCTCTACTGATTTTCATCATTGTTTTTCATTTTCTCTTCATGAAGTATTTTGCTGAGGATGTTCTGTAGTGCAGGCTTTCTAGTTGTGAATTCTTGTAACTTTGGTTTATCATGGAAGGTTTTCATTTCCTCATCAAATCTAAAGCTTAGTTTTGCTGGATATAAGATTCTTGGCTGGCATCCATTTTCTTTTAGAGCTTGGTATATGTTTTTCCACGATCTCATGGCTTTGAGAGACTAGGTTGAAAAATCTGCTGAGATACGAATTGGTCTCCCCCTATATATGATCTGATTCCTCTCTCTTGCAACTTTTAATATTCTATCAATATTCTGTATGCTAGACATTTTCATTATAATGTGCTTTGGTGTAGATCTGTTGTAATTTTGTACATTTGGTGTCCTGTAAGCCTCTTGTATTTGGTTTTCCAATTCGTTCTTCATGCCTGGGAAATTTTCTGATATTATCTCATTGAAAAGATTGTGCATTCTTTTGGTTTGAAACTCTGTGCCTTCCTCTATCCCAATAACTCTTATATTTGGTCTTTTGATACTGTCCCATATTCTTGGATGTTCTGTTCATGTTTTCTAAGTATCTTCACTGTGTGATCAACTTTATTTTCCAGACTGTATACTTTGTCTTCATTATCTGACTTTTTTTCTTCCAAGTGATCTAGTCTGTTGCTTATGCTTTCTATTGAGTTTTTTATTTGATAAATTGTATCCTTCATTTCAAGGATTTCTGACTATTTTTATTTTTCAGGGTCTCTATCTCTCTCGAAGTAATCTTTCTCTACCTGTGTTTGCCCTCTTATCTGATTAATTTTTGCTTGTATTTGCTCATTTAGGTCATTCTTTAATTCACAGATCATTTTAATTATGAACCTTCTTAACTCCTTCTCTGACATTTCATCAACTTTGCTGTCGGTGGGTTCTGTTATTACAGTGTCCTGGATTGTTTGGGGTAGTTTCCTCCCTTGTTTTTTCATGTTGTCTATGTGTCTTCTTTTCTTACAGTATGGATCTGAGATATTACAGTTTCTTCCCTATATTTTTGTAACTTGTGCAGATTGTCTGTACCTCACTTTGATATTGGGCTTCCGGACCCTGCTGGTGTCCCTTAATGAATGCTACTTCATCCTGGATCTGGGTCCTGCATAAGTTGGAGTGGGTGGATCTGGGCCGCTGGGCTTGACCTCAAGTAGTAGTCTGTTGGTCAGAAGGGGCAGTCCTGTGCCAGAGGTTAAGCTCTGGCGGGTGTCTGCCTTGCAGGTGGAGGGGTAAACTGGGCCTACTGAGAGCCTGTGTCCTGTGCGGGGCTGGTGTGGGTGGATCTGGGCCACCGGGCTTGACCATCCATGGTACTCTCCAGGTTGGAAGGGCTAAATTTTTTCTTTTAACATATTAAATTGCCCATTAAATAACCTTGGATTAACAATGAAATATTTCAATGAAACAGCTAAATAAGTATAATTTATTTGTTTCTTCCACAGCAATGAAAAACCCTTCAACTATGATCCTTGAAGTCTATTGGAGAGAGATACAAACAAAAAATCTTGAAATAGCCAGACAGAGTGGCTCAGGCCAGCAGCTTGGGAGGCTGAGGTAGGAGGATCAAAAGTTCAAGGTCAGCCTCAGCAATTCAGCAAGTCCAGACGCAATTTAATCAGATGCTGTCTCAAAATATATGCCTGGCTCAGGACCACCCCACGGATCCGCATGGGACCCCAGGTCCAGGCTCTGGCCTAGGACCGCACTGAGGACATGCAGACCCCCACAGGACCATAGCCCTGGCCTAAGACCATCTCAATGGCCTGGGTGAGAGCCAAGGATAAGTTCTAGTGAAAAGCCAGCATCTACCTCAGAGCAAAGCCTGTCCAAGGAAGGGGACGTGACCCTTGTCCTTGGAAAGACCCACAGAGCACTCCTAGGCACATACCCACCCTGCTGAGTTTATCTAAAAATAACCAGAGAGATCTGTGAGCCAGGTGTCCCTGACTCAGTCAGGCTAGGTGGAGACCCATAGCAACCCCCTAGCAGCCACCAATCAGCATAAGACAGGGAAATACCTGGGATGCCAGATGACCTTCCCAGTAGTTTATGGTGGTTGATAACATGTTGGGAAACCATGTAGTTCAGCAGTACTCCCCCTCATGGCTTAAACCAATCAGTTCAAATGAATCCCCCTCTTGTAGTAACCAATCACCCTTACTCAACTTGTTCCCACCAGTGGATGTGCTAATCATGTTTTAGAGTTGTTTTATGATTTTCCAGCGGTGTGTGATGATTTGCTAAGAGAGGCTATGATGTATGTGAAGTCCCTGCCTTCCCCAAAGAGTGTATAAAACTGCTGCAAAACTTGGGCTCAGGGCCTCTCAGCGTCACCAGTTGCTGTGTGCGCACAGAGGACCGAACTAGCTCACAATAAACACCTCTTTGCTGCTTACATCAATCATGGTCTCTGGTGGTCTTTTGGGGGTCCCGAATTCAAGCATAAAACTAGGCCTAGGACCACCGACCAGCAGACCCACCCTGAAATCCAAGCCTAGGTCCAGGTCTGCCTCACCTACTCAAGCAAAGGACAAGGTTAGTCCCAGGACCGCCCAGCTAACTGACAGACCCACACTGGAACCCAGATCCTGGTCCTGGTCCAGGACCACAAACACCCACCAGCAGACCCACAACGAAACCTAGGCCTACTCCACTTCCATCTTGGGATCTGCAGCCATTGCTGTAGCCCTCCCCACACAGTAACTTCCATCTTGGGACAACAGATATAGCCAGGAGGCTGCATCTTGGGACAGGCAGCCCAAAACCATTGTAAGGCCCACCCTTTCAGCCTCATCTCTCTGAAAGTGGTTGCACCCATATTGGGACACCTGTGGGGACCCACTCTGAATGATTCGTGCCTTCCATCCTATAGCAGAGGCTTTGACCAGTCACTACATCTTGTAGCCACTTGAACATTGCCTGATCCAGGAAGTTGAGGATGTGTCTTCAGACTTAGGCATGTTGCCCCATGGCCCCTTGGGTCGAATTACACTCACCTGTCCTTTATAACCCTGCCCCTTCTGGCCTTTTTTGGATGGAACTTTCTAAGAATAAGGGTCCCCCCAATAAAAGCCCACTTCGGAACATGCTTGCTCTCTCTCGCCAGCCTCTTGTGACTTTCTCTTGCTCTCCCATTTGGGGAGCCTGAGGCCAGGAGCGGAGAAGCTGTCCTGAAGCTTGTTTAAAGGTAAAGTGTGTGTCTGTGTTTTATTTGGTGTCCCTGGAAATTCACTTGAGAGACCTTAAGTTCAGCTTCCCATGCAGTTCAGGGGCAGCAGACACCCCCACTGCTATCTTGAGTTATCTCTGCTACCACCATCTTTAGTTGCAGCAGCATTTATCATGGGACACCAGCTAGAGTCTACAAGCCAAACACCAAGCTGAAGTACAGGTAATCTTCAGGGACACTATAAGATTATAGGGTAGAGGGGCTAGGAATATACTTTAGTTGGTAGAATGCTTGCCTCGCATGGACAAGGCCCTGGGTTCAATTCCAAGCACCACCAAAAAATAAATAAAATGAAGATTATATGGTAGAAATGTTAATACCTCAGATCCGCACTGCAAGAAAGGAACACACATAGACAGCATGAAAGAACAAGAGAGGAAAGTGCTCCAAACAAACCAAGATGCCACAATAATAGAATACATAGACAGCACAGTTGATGAAATGTCAGAGAAGGAGTTCAGACTGTACATAATTAAAATGATCGGGGCTGGAGTTGTGGCTCAGTGGTACAGCGCTCGCCTAGCAAGTGTGAGACCCTGGGTTTGCTCCTCAGCACCACATATAAATAAAAGTATTGTATGCAACTACAAATAAAAAATAAAATGATAAAAAATAAAAAATAAAATTATCTATGAATTAAATAATGAGCTATGTGAGCAAATACAGGCAAAAATTTATCACTCCAACAAAGAGATAAGGAAGCAAATACAGGCAACCATTGATCATACCAAGACAGAGATAAGGGAGCAAATACAGGTAGCAAAAGACTACTTTAAGAAAAAGAGATTCAAGGGCTGGGGATGTGGCTAAGGCGGTAACTTGCCCACTTGGCATGTGCAGGGCGTTGGGTTTGATCCTCAGCACCACATAAAAATAAAGATGTTGTGTCCACCGAAAACTGAAAAATAAACATTAAAGAATTCTCTCTTTCTCTCTCTCCTCTCTCTCCTCTCTCTCTCTCTCTCTCTCTCTCTCTCTCTCTCTCTCTCTCTCTCTTTAAAAAAAAAAAAAAAAGAAAAAGAGATTCAAGAAAGAAAGATTTTTGGAAAAAAAAACAGAAATCCTTGAAATGAAGGAAACAATAAATGAGATAAAAAAAAAAAAACTCAATAGAAAGCATCACCAACATACTAGATCACTTGGAAGACAAAATGTCAGATAATAAAGATAAAATAAAAATCTTGAAAATAAATTTGATCACACAGTGAAGATAGTAAGAAACCATGAACAAAACATTGAAGAATTATGGAATAACATCAGAAGACCAAATCTAATATTTTTGGGGATAGAAGAAGGCATATAGATTCAAACCAAAGAAATGCATAATCTGTTCAATGAGATAATGTCAGAAAATTTCCCAAGCATGAAGAATGTATTAGAAAATCAAATACAAGAGGCTTACAGGACACCAAATGTACAAAATTACAACAGATCCACACCAAGTCACGTTATAATGAAAATGCCTAATAGATAGAACAAGGAGAGAATTTTAAAAGACAAAACAGAAGGAAATCAGATCACAAATAAGGGGAAGCCAATTAGATTCTCTGCAGATTTTTCAACCCAGACCCTGAAAGCTAGAAGATGCTAGAACACCATTTACCAAGCTCTGAAAGAATATAGATGTCAACCAAGAATCTTATATCCAGTAAAATTAAGCTTTAGATTTGATGATGAAATAAAAACCTTCCATGATAAACAAAAGTTAAAAGAATTTATAACTAGAAAGTCTGCACTACAAAATATTCCATGAGGAGGAAATGAAAAACAATGAAAACCAGCAAAGGGAGGTGTTACACTAAATGAAAAACCAATCAATGAGAAACCAAGCAGGGCCCAGTGGCACACATTTGTCATCTCAGCATCATGGAAGGTTGAGGCAGGAAGATCACAAGTTCAAAGCCAGCCTTAGCAATGGCAAGGCACTAATCAACTCAGTGAGACACAGTCTCTAAATAAGATACAAAATAGGATTGGGGATTTTGCAATGGTCGAGTGCACCTGAGTTCAATCACTACTACCAAAAAAAAAAAAAAAACCCACAAAAAAACCCCAAAAAACAAAACCCAACTCAAGTTAAATACAAAAAATAAAGAAAAGTGACTAAGAATACTAATAACCCTGAATTTTAATGCCATAAACTCACCAATCAAAAGACAGAGACTGGCAGATTGGATTAAAAAAAAAAAAAGACCCAACAATATACTGCTTCCAAGAGACTCATAATTCGCGCCATAGGAAAAGACATCCACAGACCGAAGGTGAAAGGTTGGGAAAAAACATACCACTCACATAAACTGCAGAAACAAGCTGGTGTTTCCATTTTCATATCAAATAAAGTAGACTTCAAGCCAAAGTTGATCAAAAGGGATAAAGAAGGACATTTCATATTGTTAAAGGGAACCATACACCAACAAGACATAACAATTATAAATATATAATGGAGCGTCTATATTCATCAAACAAACTCTTCACAAGTTCAAGAGTCAAATAGAACACAACATAATAATTCTGGGTGACTTTAACACACCTCTTTCACTGCTGGATAGATCTTCCAAACGAAAGCTAAACAAAGAAAATACAGAACTCAATTATACAATCAATAACTTAAACTTAACTGATATATATAGAATATTTCATCCTTCAATGAACAAATACACTTTCTTCTCAGCAGCACATGGATTCTTCTCTAAAATAGACCAAAAATTATGCCAAAAAGCAATTCTTTTAAAAAAATATATTTATTTTTTAGTTGTAGTTGGACACAACATCTTCATTTCATTTGTTCATTTTTATGTGATGTTGAGGATCAAACTCAGGACCTTGAGTGTGCTAGGCGAGCGCTCTACCACTGAGCCACAACCTCAGGCCCACAAAGCAACTCTTAGCAAATACAACAACAACAAAAAAAAAAAACAAACAGAGATACTATACCCTGCATCCTATCAGATCTTAATGGAATAAAATTAGAAATCAATGATAAAATAAAAAATGGAAGCTACTCCAACACCTGCAGACTAAATAATATGCTATTGAATGAACAATGGGTTGAAAAAGACATCAGATAGAAGATTTAAAAATTCTTAAATGTAAATGAGAATACAGATACAATGTATTGAATCTCTGGGACACTATGAAGGCAGTACTAAGAAAAAAGTTTATTGCATGGAGTTCATTCCTTAAAAGAAGAAAAAGTCAACAAATAATATCTGAACACCCTAGAAAAAGAAGAACAAATCAACACCAAAAGCAATAGAAGATAGGAAATAATTAAAATTACAGCTGAAATCAATAAAATTGAAACAAAAGAAACAATTGAAAAAAATTGACAGAACAAAAAGTTGATTCTTTGAAAAAATCAATAAAATTGATAGACCCTTAGCCATGTTGACCAAGAGAAGGAGAGAGAAGACTCAGATTACTAACATCTATGGAGAAACAGGAAATATCACAACAAACACAACAGAAATACAGAAGATAATTAGAAACTATTTTGAAACTTTGTACTCCAATAAAATAGAAAATATCAATGGCATCGACAAATTTCTAGGGTCATATGATTTGCCCAAACTGAATGAGGATGATATACACAAGTTACACAAATCAATTTTAAGCAATGAAATAGAAGATGCCATCAGAAGCCTACCAACCACAAAAAGCTCTGGACCAGATGGACACAGTTCTACAAGACCTTCAAAGAAGAACTAATACCAATACTCCTCAAATTATTTCATGAAATATAAAAAGGGGTAACACTTACAAACTAATTCTATGAGGCTAATATCAATCTGATTCTAAAACCAGACAAATACACATCAAAAAAAGAAAAATTCAGACCAATATCTCTAATGGACATAGATGCAATAATTCTCAATAAAATTTTGGCAAATCAAATATAAAAACATATTAAAAAGATCGTGCACCTTGATCAAATGGGCTTCATCCCAGAGATGCAAGGTAGGTTCAACATACAGAAATCCATAAATGTAATTCATCACATCAATAGACTTACAGATAAGAACCATATGATCATCTCAATAGATTCAGAAAAAGCTTTCGACAAAATACAGTACCCCTTCATGTTCAAAACACTAGAAAAACTAAGGATAACAGGAACACATCTCAACATTGTAAATGCTATCTATGCTATGTCCCAGGTCAACATTATTCTA